CTGGTCCCACACCGGGGACATTTATGCAGTGACTTGAACGTTTCGCCACGAAAAAGTATACAGTGGTTGTGGCATGCATGGATTTTTTTTAACCTCCATTATCAATGGACTTATGACCTTCTTCGCTTGGTATGTGTTGGCGGAAACTGAGTTTGGTTGTGGCAGCACCCATAACAAGAGATGCAATAGATCATTGAAACTATAGTCTGACCAGCCGTATTTAGCCTTTAGGATAAGTAGCTCAAGCACAAAACGTAGCAATGTCTAATATGTCGGATAGCCCTTTTAAACACCATACACAGTCTCCTTCGATGCTTTTGTCATCCTTTCCAAATTTTCTAGACCTTTCGGGCTATTTAATAAAATCTCTGGTCCAAAGGCTCGAATCATGTCCTCCAAATCATCTTCATCCCCAACACGTGCTCCACCATCATTATTGGCACCACCTTCGTCGTTACCATCCCAACCACCAGCATCACCACCTTGTTCATTGCCAAACTCTTAATCCATTCGTGCATCAAGCTCTGCTGAATATTGGGACAAGGATTCTAGAGTTTCGTCGTCGTATTCCTCCTTATCCTCGTCGTTAACAATAACCGTTTCACCATGATGAATCCACACTGTGTAGTCCTCAATAAATTCTCACATAATCAAATATGATCTGATGATAGTCACATCTGTCCATGCCATACGGTTCTTGTAATCTTTACAGGGACAAATAATTGTATCATTATTCTCTGTCAATGTCATTGCATGCTTCTTTGCGGCTTCAATAAATTTATCCACCTCTTCAAAGAAACCTACCTTGAACCTTAACGAACCATACATCCAAGAGTTCCTGTACTCCATCTTTTACAACAACAACAAAACAAACATTAAATGACTACTTATTCAGATATATATAAAAATGAATCAAATTAATAATTACTTGAGAATAATTGTATATACTTTAGATATATATGAATATAAATCAAATATAATTACATGAAGCATACAAACACACCATGGTAGAGGAAAATTAATTAATAGCCCATTTATCCATAAATAATTAAAATACATATTTGTTGATTACAATAAACAATTTCAAAAACAACAATTAGCAACAATTATATTTTACATAATATCTTTCATACAAACCCTAGTCCAATTTCATCAAACACAAATTTATAAAAACGAAATTAATAAAAAAACCAAACCCTAGATCTAGATCTACATGCACATGAAACATCCATAAAACTAACTAATTGTTCACTAAAATCAAGAAACATGGACCAAATAAGGGTATGATCTTGTTCCCCTCCCTAATTTACCCTAGTACATTCAAAACTTGGGTCTAATTTGCTTCATAAGTAGCTCAAGCACCATAGAAGAGAGAGAAAAACAAAACTCTAATTACTCACTAACCAACCATTAAAACTTCAAAAAAGTATGGAATAGCATTTTCTTACCTTCTACGACCTCTCCACCAAAGGATTTGAGACCAAAACCCCCCTCCCTTAGTAGAGCAATTTTTGGGAGATGTCCAAGGCCTCCCACCTTTCTTTCATGGGTTAGAATGAGTGACCCGAGGAGGAAGAATGTGCTGCAGTTTTTTTATATGTGGGTCATTTGTAGGGGCGGCTGGTGATTGAGCCGCCCCTACAAATAGTAGGTATTTATACGTGGGGCATTTGTAGGGGCGGTTCAATCACCAGCCGCCCCTACAAATACCAACACCGGGGGTGGCTGGTCAGTGAGCCGCCCCTACAAATTAGACCCATTTGTAGGGACGGCTCGTATCACCAATAGCCCATGCTGTTCTATTTGTAGGGGCGACTGGTCTCTGGGCTCTCGAGCACGCCGCTGTAGGGGCGGCTCCATCACCAGCCGCCCCTACAAAAAACTTGTCCCGTTGCTACAAACCGTTTTTCACGTAGTGTCACCCACTTCTCAACATCCACTATCTCTCTAGCCATGTCCTCATCTCCACCGTAGAAAAAGTAGATTCACAAGGGGAGTGCTAGCTAGCCCCCACCTTGCCATGGTCATCTCGCCCTTTTTGCTGAATCTAGTTCAAAAGGTGGAGGAAGCTCAAGCTCTTCCCTGGGCTGAGCAGTCAGCCAGTGTATAGCGTCTGTAGAAGATGCTAGACGCCAAGCATGTGACTCCCAAGTATGGCCAAGCGGGCGCGATGGCAAGGGAGGAAAGTGGACAGGCGCCACCAAGAAGATGTGGTGGCAAGGGAGAAGGTGTGCACCAGACGAGCAAGCACAATGTGCAGGGCAAGCATGTTAGATGGGAGCTATTGAGAGCAATCGTTGGAGAGAGAAGCAATTGAAGAGAATATTGGGCCATTCATGAGCCATTCACAGATGGGTGAAAAAAATATTATGTGGCCCAACTGATCCGCTAGGAAGAAAGTTTTGTCTGGATGTCCTATCCGAAGTATTTCCGTTGTGCTTTTGAAGGATCTAACTGTGTAGCTGGCCTTTAGCTCTAATTTGACCCTTTTGGGGTCCTGTTGTTACGTTTTCTAGGGATTGGACGATTCCATCTCATGCGTGTGGTTTTGCGCCCCTGCATTTTATGTATTTTATGTGATGGGCTACTGATTTCTATAGTGCATTGGCAGGATGTATAAAGTGAAAAATGTTTGTTTGTGCTACATGTTATGCTCTGTTGTGGTTTTGACATATCTCGTAATGTGATTATTTTATTTTTCTCTTGGAAGAGAACGTTCTGGTCAGTACGACATATTGTTCTAGACTTCATTAAATTACTATAAAAATAAAGCTATATAGTAATCATATATACTTTCTTTGCCCTAAAATAGATGACCTTATAGGTCAGGGCACAATAATTTTTGTGGAGTGAAAAAGATATGATGCACATAAAACAACAAGAAGAAAAATAGCGATCTACAAAGAAAAGAGAAAAATATATCGGGAAAAGAGAAAGATACACTGAGATGCTATAATATCAAGTATTTTGAGACAAAATTTGAATCCTACGAAGTCATTTATTTGGGACGGTGGGAATAATATATTAATTATTCTAAACATACATAGGCTTATATTTAATATATTATCGTATAACTCAACAAATTCATAAAATTGGTATAAGTAGTGTGGAAAAAGTATAACTCAACAAATTCATAAAATTGGTATAAGTAGTGTGGAAAAAGTTCTAACTTGTTATTGCTAGCAGGAGCGACTGTACTCTCTTGGTTCTTGTGGCTCACTAGAAATGATAGTGTTTTTGACATGTTCGGTCCCTGTAGGTCTTATTTAGGGCAACACATTGGTTTCGGTTTTAGGTTCAGTTGCAACAAAGTGAAGAAAAGAAATAATGCATATAAAAGGCTTGCCAAACCCTAGAGACATCGGCTTTGGCCTTTTTCCCTCTTATATGGATGGCCATTATGTCTGGAATTACGAAATGAGTTTATGTTTTTAGTCTATTTTAAGCATGAGTGCGAGAACTTCTTGGTATTGTAATAATATAATCTGGTTCCTCACTCTTTTTTGTGTCTGCTTTAAGCATGAGTGTGTTATGAGCGAGGATGAAGCCAGCTGTTTATTCTATTATCTAAAAAAACAAATTCATTAAATTGGGCATAAAATGAATTATTACTTGATTTTCAGTTAGTATTTGTGACCGGTATGGGCGCTATTAGTCGGAATAGTCGATAATGATCAATATCTATTGATATTGAGACCGTTATGAAATGACTATGTTTTCATACCAGTTTAACCATTGGTATTATGTATGAGAGATATACCGAACATTTATACAGACTACCGGTACGAAAACGGTATTGATATGCTTCCTGATAGAATAGGCTTAGCGTGGCATCTTGTTCCGCTGTTGGTGAGCCTCCTTAAGATTTTTTGTTCAAGCGTCAGAGGCTAGAGCGTGCTTGGTTGCAAGCCAATTTTTGCCAAGCCAAAATATAAGCAAGTTCAAAAGATTTGACGTGTAATTGGTTTGGTGCTAAAATATTGACAATTCTTTTCAAAATTTGGCAAATATTTTTCTCTCTTGCTGATAGCAAACTAAGTAGTCAAATACTAACTTTGATTAGCTTACCAAAATATTGACTTACTCTAATATTCGTCTACCCATATTTTGATTTGCCATAAAATTAAGAGTGGTGTTCAACTCTTCTGTCTTCTCCCGCACCCTGCCCAGCCACACAGGACGAGAGAGGCGGTGGGATCTAGGGCTGGGCCTGGCAATGGCAAGCCGCATTCATGGCAGCCAGTGTCGTGCGAGCTGATTGGTCCACGCGAGCGAGCCGAGCAACGAGCCACGCCCAGGCGGGAGTTGCTCCATCTCGCGCGCGTTCGATCACAGGGAGCTCCACGCGTCGGCCATCCGAGGTGCTCGAGGATCGGGGTCCACGTGAACCCACCGGTGTCTTCTGCTTCCTATCCCTAGGAATTGCAAGAGCCTTCTCTAGTCTTGAACCTCGACTACTCCGGGGGAAAGTACTGGCGCAGCAGCACAGGAGCGCAGCGGTCGAAGTCTTCTTCGATCAGTAAACTCAACAAGAAGGTGCATTTTACTGTCGTCTCATCAGGCAGGCGATCTGATCGGCGACATGTCCTGAACGTCGTATCGGGCTTTATTTGATCATCTGCACAGGTATTCTTCTACTTTTCCCTGAACTCTAGAGTTAGAGTTTATTGATTTCGTTTCGGATTTGTGTTCGATCAGTTTGTGGTGTAATAAAATCGGACGGTATTGTTTGTTTTGTTTTCTGGACTTTGATTTTTTGGATATATTTTTTAATGTGGTTTCAGAGTAGTTTGATGGGGTTTTTTCTCGATGTAGAAATTTCTGCTTCGCAGTCATTTTTTTTGGAGGGTTTGTGTCTTCGTGATGATACTGCTAGTAACCCATCTAATTGCTGTTCGTCTTGATGCCTTTCTCTAGTGCCTAAGGTGACCATTTTTTTTGGGTGTTTTTGGTGATTTCATCCTTAGATCAGGGGAGGAGGAAACGAAATCTTGGTGGGGATGATCGGCTCTGCTCCTGATTCGGCCCGCCGGAAGCCGAGTCACGGTAGTGCCAACGATGAGGTGCGGGATGGTGGCACTGTGGTAAAGAACACGAAGAGGTCCGCTGATGCCTTCACAGAGAAGAGGAAGAAAAAGGAGCATTTGTGCAGTTCCAACCATGGGAAGGATAGGGACATACGGAATGGCGACCAAAGGATAAAGAAGAGCAGGGTGCCTGCCGCATTATGTGAGAAGGGGAGGGAAAAGGATGGCCTGAACAAAACCAACAGCAAGAAGATGGTGGGTGTTGACCTGGACAAGAAAAAGACGATTACATCGAATGACTACAGTAAGGTTGAGGGTAAGAAAAAGGTCAACACCGCATCCCTTGAGAAGGAGAGGAAGAAAAAACTTCCCAATGCCAGCACTCGGAAGAATACGCGAAGGGATGATGGCGAGGGAGGGAGGATTATGAGTAACTCTGATACTAAGGTGAAGAGCAAGAAAGTGTCCACCACATTATCTGAGAAGGAGAAGAATAAGGAAAAGCTGAACAAAACACACAGAGAGAAGAAGATGCAGGCTGCTGACAGCAAAATGAGGAATCATGACAGTGGAGTGAACAAGAAAAAGGTGTCCACAAAATTTTGTGATAAAGAAAAGAAAAGGAAAAGGCCAAACAATACCAACAGTGAGAAGGAGACTGCGCCAATCACATCTGCTGTTAAAGAGAAGAAAATGAGGACCACTGAGAGCATGGAGATTAAGATGAGACATGACCGACAGAATAGGAGAAATGTGCCACTTGATGTATCCAACGAGAAGATGGATATATCAAGTCACTCTAACTATAAAATAGGGAAGAGGAAATTACTACACACACAATTGAAGAAAAAAAAGAGGATGCAGTGCAATGATAGTGATAAGAAGATTCACGGTGCCAAGGTGAAGGAAATGAAAATATTTAGCTGCGGCAAGGAAAAGGTTAATCAGGCTTCATTCGCATTTTTTAAAGTCATGTGCAACAATTTCGAGAAATTTCTGGTATGGTTTTGTTTCTTGCTGCTTTCCATTACAGTTCTTTGTTTCTCTCGTACACGCAGGAGGACTGTGTATCATTTCATTAATAGGTAGAAAAAATGGTCTGAATACATGCCGATTCCACGGCTTGGGCTAGGTTTTTTTTTTACATTCGCGCCCTTTTAATTAGATAAAAACAGCATGCTATATCATTTTTTTGACATGTCTGGATTAATTATAGTATCCTTTTCTTTTCTTTGTGTTATGTCATGGTTCCTACCAAACATCATGTACATGCATATATTTGTGCAGGTGATACCACTAACTGTTGCACCCAGATTGGAGTATTTGACTAATCATCTTGTATTTCTTAAAGATTCAAAGGGAAAATGTTCAGTGGTCATGGTATCGAAGGTCGCTGGTTCCCTTACTTTTGATCAGGGATGGGATATTTTTGTTTCAAACCATTTGATTAAATGGGGTGAGTTTCTGTTGTTTGAGTATATTGCTGAGAGTACATTTTCTGTGCGGGTTTTTGGTACAGACTCTAGTGAAAGACTCTACTTCAATGCTGAGAGCACAACTAAAGGCGAAAGAAAGAAACAGACATGGAGTAATATGTCACCTGATGATTTGGTCTTCAACGATGGTAGTTCAGAAAACATAGATAATGGAAACTATGTTTCTGGCGAAAATCCCAGGACCAAAGTGCCTCAAACTGGTCATGTGACTTACAATACAAAAAAAGACCCTAAACCAGTTGAACATGTGGTTGGATCTGGACTAGTGGCACAAGATAACAATGGAAATTTGATTGATCCACAGTGCAAAACAAAGGGCACTTCTCCACTGTGCAGCAAAGGAAAAACACTAATTATGCTTATAGATTCTGAAGATTCTGAACCTTTAGAGCATGAAAATGGGGATACAATGAAGCTAGCCACATCAGGTGCAGATTCAGATACAAGTCTTGTGGCTGTAAATACCAATGAAGACCCTATAAGAGCTCAGAGTGGCATTGGGAATGGACCCTCAGTTGTACTAGCTGACGAGAAGGGGAGTTCCCCTGAAATTGAGTGTGGAACCAAGTCCATTTCAGCAACATGCAGCGAAGGAAAAACAAGATCTCAAATAATTATAACTGCTACAGCTCTCTTGGATTTACATGATTCAGATGAAGATTTAGGAAGAAAACAAAGAACAAATGCCATTCCTTTAGATTCTATCACGACTGTGGTAGATTATCATAATCATAGCAAGACGAACATTATCCAAAACTTTTACAGAAAATATGAAGCTCCTGGAGGTTTTCGCTGCTTGGAGAAGTGGAGGAAGGATGTTGTGAACAATCAAGCATCTCTTGATTGCACTGTACCGATTAAACCTGAAAACCCACAAAAAAATGACAGCATGTTGGTTGATGGTTATGGTTCAATTGAACTAAACCCTGTAGATGAGTACATTTGTTCCGAGGGCAATCATGAATGTGTCCAACCAATATTCACCATGCCCATCAAAGAACCATCAAGTGCTGATAGAGTAACCAATTGCGGACACGATGGGATAGAGATCGACTATAGCATCAATGAGAAAGATGGAGGTCTGATTCATCTCATAATTTTTTTATGATTGCTACCATTATAGGGCTTGTTTGGATGCACTCGTATCTACCTCAATCCACGTGTAATCCACGTGTGCTGGAGTGGATTGGGGTGGAAATTAAACTAACTTACATCCTAATCCACTCCAATACACATGGATTGAGGTGGATACGAGTTGTGCTGTTTCATTCAAAAAAGAGTTTATCGTGGAGGTAAATGATTTTTGTAGTAGAAATAACTAATTTCTACATGATTCTATAGGTGCTTCTGTTCTACTTGAAGCAAAAGGGGAACGATTGGAACCTATGGGAAGCATTGTACATAGCCAAAGTAACAATGTCCCGTTGTGTGCGAACCCTGTAGTTCGGGGTAAGGATGGTGCACCAGGACTAACCCCTATTGGGTCTGAAGGAAGTTGTGCCTTTATTGAATCAATGCTCACAGGGCCCATTGAGAAAACCTCAAGTCCTGACGAAATATCCAAATGCAGCAGTAGCACGATAGAGATCGAACATAATGTCAATGGAAAAGGTGGGGATGTGCTCTTAACTTTCTAGTATTATTACTTCAATTGTTTTTCTTTTAAAATTATCTTGGTTGTTTATTGTGGAGATAATTGTTGTTTATAGCATATTATTGAATCTATGTTTGGTAGGAACTACTGTTCAATTTGAAATCCAAATGGATCAAGTGGAGCCAGTGAGGAGCAGTGTACGCAGCAAAAGTTGCAACATTGTTCTACGTGCCAACGAATCAGGTGAGCTTATTTTATCTTGTTTTGTTTCAATGTAAAATTAAAGAGTGGGTAACTTGTTTTGTTTGTATATAAAATTAAAGAGTGGGTTTCTGATTGGATAACGTGTTTCTAATTAGTCTGTTGGATTAATCCATGCAGAACATCGTTCCTCCGAACAGGAAGGTAGAATGTCTAGTAACACTGAGGTCCCAGAGCCTTTGTTGCCTATGAAGGACGAAATTCTGAAGCTGGATTGTCATTCTCCACCAGAGATCAACTCGCAACTGTGCATTCCTGATACCACTCAGAAATGGCTTGTGAGTTGTGCAGATTCCATAAATAGTCTTCTTTCACTAATGCCTGTATATCTTTTGTACTTTCGTATTGGTGCAATCAAAAGCATCCTTGCAAAAAGGAAGAATTGTGGAGTTGTGACCTCTTGCTCCCCAAGGACACACAAAAAAAAACCCCACAAACAGCGACCGTGAGCAAAACAATATTCACTAATTTAACATTATTCAATTACTGACGGTTTTGAACAATGGATGGTTGTTATTGTGGCCATGATGATGTAGAGGTTGTGGACTGTGCAAATGGAAGCATACATTTTAATTGGGCCGCAATACTAGCATCACTTGAACTGTTTAAAAACTGTAGATTAACGCCTTTTTATACTTACGGGGTTTGGACCTGAAGTTCATAATCTTTCTAGTTGCCTAAATCCCTCAGTAGGTTGTTGTAAAACATGTTGGTCTGCTGAGATCATGGTGTGCGGATTTGTAGCACTTGTTTTAAGACTGCTTGTAGAGTATATTAGATTTTATTTCTCTAAATATTGTTCTGATGACAGTTCCGTCCTTATTTGTTGGGGCTATTAGATTATTCCAGTTCGATGCTTCGTTGGCCTCATTCACCTGTTCATAGTTTCTAAGTTCTTATTATATAAGTAAGTTTCTGATCACATCGCTGAAGGTGTTTCTGATCAATATTCTCCCAGGACCTATCCAAGTCGCTTTCCAGTGCAGTTAGACAGAGAAGGCATCATTGGGATGTTATAATGCTGAAGGATCCCATGAAGAGATTATGGCCTATTATTTACCATGACAGCCCAATATTTGTGGGCTTCACGGCGGGCTGGAAATATTTTGTTGCAGCAAACAACCTCGAGACCGGGGATGTCTGCGAGCTTATTAAGGAGTCAGACGATGATGAGCCTGTGTACTCTGTCCGGATGCGTGGTAAAATTTAAAATCCCACTTCATCGGTGCACTTCTCTTAGGTGGGCTAAACTTTGTGATTTAACTTTTTTTACCTATGAATCAATCAATTGGTACTATAGCTGACTCTTCTTTCCTAATAACCCTTTGCGACTTGAGAGTGTGCAGGCCTCAGGAAGCTTGCTTCAGTCGAACTACTAGGCGGATCTTGTGAATACCATGTGGATCTGCCGTTTTTTTGCAGGAAGTCGTGGGAAAACCTTGTGGATCTGGTGTTTCTGCGTGGGCAGTGACTGGTGAACTTTTGACGATCCACGTCCTAAGAACTATAGAAGTCAGGCAGGCTGGGAGCATGGGACTGCACCTGCACCTGTCATATTTATCAGTCGTTGGAATTGATACGTTTGTTCTGTGTAGTGTAGTAGTGTGTAACCATAACCATGAACCGTGACGCTGTAGGATAAGACGACCACATGCGCTGGCCAGGGTCGCTTTTGCTCTCGATCTGCCGCTTGATCCTGGTAATGTTTCGACCATGAGCATGACTGAACTTGATAAAGATTTCGATATATAATAATATATTACTGTTACTATTGTTCTCTTGCCTCTGTGGATTCGTTTTTACACCTAATTAAAATCCTTTATATACTTTGCGAGTTGCGACAAGGTTAAGCATTATATTCTTTCCTAGAGAAAATGCATGCAATACGAGGATGTTGAGCCGCAGCGCATGGACTGTGATGATGATAGCACAGGGTTATGTTCTTGCTGTCCTCAAATAAAACCCACAGATGCTCGCATGGCATCTGATGTCCTGTGCCGTGGAGGCGATGGAAACACTGGAAAGCTAAGCACAGTTGCGGCGGCGCTGACCTGACCGTCGCGCTCGCGCGCGGACGCGCTGGACCAAACCAAACCATCCACACAAGCCCGTTCTGAACAAGCGACGTCATCGCTAAACGACTCGCGGCGACAAGACTCGGCTCGGCGTCTCCGTCCGCGCCGGTGGTCGCCCAACGCCCACGCGCTGCTACTGCTACTGCTAGCCGCCCGCGTTGATCGATCCCCTTCCCCTCTCCCTCTCCCACCTGCCCCTGCCCGGATTGAAGCCGATTTTATGAGGCCGCGCCGCGCGTGCGTTAATGCTGCCACTGCCAGTGCCCGGCACGGCTCGCCACGCCACTCCCCGCTGGCCGCAGGCGTCTCAGCAGTCAGCACGACGCCTCGAGCCCTCGACTCGACTCGACGGACAGCGAGTACCGAGCAGGGCGGGACGGTGCCGTGCCCGTGCGGTGCAGAGGCCCAGGGGTTGGGATTTCCGGCCGCCACCGGCGACCACATCCCCAACGCTATCTTAATTTCTTTTCGGTAAAATTGGTTGTGTAGCATCAATGATCGTGATCTCTGTAAAATACCACCGAAAGTTTAGCGTCTCGTAAAATATCACCGAAAGATTGAACCGTGAATTGAGAGTAGTATTTTGTTAAAATAAAGTTACGGGTGTGGTGGAAGCCTCCGTCGCGCCCGTACGCGATGTTGTCGCGGATGCTCGTCGAGAATAGAAACGGCTCCTACGGCACCCCGCCACCACGTGCAGCGTCCGTAGGTTGTGCTTGCGCACGTCCTTACCAGATAGGACTATAGGAGCACGTGTCAGGACGTGGGCTCGTAGAACCGCTGCTCCAGCACTAGCAGGTTCCAGCATCCAGAAGCACGTGTCCTTACCGAGTTAAAGAAGCACATGTCCAGCAGCAGGTTCCGGCGGCCAGAAGCAGCGCATCACCTTCGCCACCGCCGGACCATGGCCCTGTCGGCGGCTTGGACGAAACCGACGAGGCGCCGAGGATGACGCAGCTGCCGAGGGTGGAGCCGAAGTCGGCCTTCCACTTTAGAAGCACGCCATCGTCAGTGCCAGCTCGATGTGGAGGCGCCGCAGCTGAGCGGAGCACCTCGGAGCGTGAGTGGTGGACTGGTGGGAGACGTCCGCGACGGGCGTGGGCAGTGGCTCGAAGCGCCAGGAGACGCCCACCGCGGCGGGGACAGGATCTGGCCGAGCGCGTGGCGATGCCGCCGACCAAGACGTGCGCGATGTGCACGAACGCGCCGCACCCGCAGCTAGCGCCTGGTGCGGCGGGGAGCCCGGTACAACGGAGGAGGAGTGTGGTAGAACCGCCCCAGATAACGCGCTTACGGAGGTGCTTGTCTTCCACTAACACTAAGCACCTCGAGAGCGAGATACATCGGACGGGTTCCGTCGGGCACAACCCAAGGGAGAGCCCAAAAGATCCATATTTTTCCTCAAGGATCCAATAACGAGAACGAGTTACAATACTTAGTCTATTTCATACATCTAGAGCTTTTAGAAATGTATTATTATATTACCAAATTCAGAATGCGGAATATTAAACAGTGGAATGAAAAGAAACGTCTATCGATAATGAACAAGGATCCGTCTGTGCCCACCAGAAGAATCCTTCACACAACGGCTACTCCTCAAGCAGTACCTACAACAGGGGTAAATAAACCCTGAGTACACAATGTACTCGCAAGACTTATCCGACTAGTGGGAATAATTTTCTGACTTCAAGGGATATGATAAGCTTTATGGTTTGCTGGGTTTTTTTTGCAGAAAGCAATTCTAATAGTGAGTCCTTATTTATGTTCTTATTAGCAGCCATGATTAATTTATTATCTAACCATTCTATGTAAGCACCTGTTTTATTTTCAAGCAAGGGTTCAGCAATCAGTTCTATTTCTTCACCTTTCATCTTTCAGTTCTTACTACGATGCTAGACTGTAGACAAGCCGTACCAGAATGCCAGCGATTCGCGAATCAATGCCCCAAGCTGGGTACCCTAAAAACACACGCCCCACTTGCACCCCAGGCACGAGCAGGACCAGCCCATCACTCTCCTGTCACGGGATTCAGGTCCCCGTCCAAACTTGGACTTCAAGCCTCCGCTCCTGAGTAACGTAAATGCACATCACATATATATAATCCATAATCAGTCAAAAATAAGGGTTATGCATCGGGGCTTGCCTTGGGCCAGTGGTGTGTCAACAGAGTCAGCAACGAACGGCTCTGGGGCTCCCTCCTATACGAGAATCTCCTCCTCGTACTCCTCAATAATCTCCTCGTAGTCCTATTCGTCCGCAGGCACAAACTCTAGTAACTCGTTATCTACATGCATGAAATGATGATGCAACACTTAGTAATACGGCAACAACAACTCTTAAAATATGAATACACCTGTCAAGCTACTAAGCTAGTTCTACCGACTAAGGTGCTAAGTTACCTATTGTTACCACTAACAAGTATGAATCATGGCATGTACTATCTTAGCAACTAAAGGCATTCTTACTCTTAATACCGATTTACTCTATATATGATAAAACAAGGAGTATTAGCTACCCTATATATCAGTCTACTCAAGGGCTACAAGAATTACAGTGAGTACATAATAATCTAATGAACCTACTGTAAAAATTTCGTGGCTAAAGCTATCACCAATTTGCCACAAAAAATCCTACAAATATTAAGCTAAATAATTCCGTGCATCGCACTCGCGCTACGACCCACTAGCGTGGCCCAACGCGGGCGTGGCCCATCCGCGCGACGACGGCCCACGACGGGGAGGCCCGCACGCACCGGTCATCTTGCGAAAATGCCCTAAGACTACCCAGTAAAAACGTGAGCCGAAAGCGAACTATTCCTTCAGTTGAGATTACGCAAAATGGCCCCTGCAACAACCTATCTTCACATCAGGGAGGTCCTTGACCTGGCTGCGCACGCCAGCACGGCGGCCAGTGGCACCGACGACCCCCGCCGGGCACCCGGGCCCCTCCCCGCCCTATCTACGGAGCCGATACCTACCTAGGCACGAACGCGAAGCACTAGGTGAAGAAAGCGCGAGCCGGAACACCGTAGTAAAGCCGGGCCATGACGGCGGAGCTCCTACAGCAAAACGGTGGTGTTCTGGTGAGTTACAACAATGCCAGAGTAAATAGGGTAGTGAGTGAGCTCTAGGCACTCACCACGAACCCAGTTGTGGTGGTAGTTCGATCGGAGGCGGCCTGAGCCAAACTGGCTGCATGCGCATGGACGGTGCGATGGTGCACCGCGATGGCAAGGCTACGTCAGGGGTGGCTAGAGGGTGGTTGCGACTTGGCAAGGGTGCGTCGGGTGGTGGGTAGGTGGAGGTGAAGCTGGCTGTGCAACGGAACGAACACGAGCAGCTCTAGAGTGGGGGCCTTGCCGTCGACGCGTGCCGAGACAGACTTAACGACCCAGCAAGAGGAAAGCTCCAAATTGGAGCATGGCACAGCAAGGATCACTGCACGATGGGGTCAGGTGGCTAGCTGACTACACCACAAAGCCATGGACAAAGCTAATTGGACCAAGGTGACTCCACCAAGCCAAATTGAAGGTGTGGGTCCGGTGACCATGGTGACAGAGGAACAAGGGAAGAGTCGGCATGGGTTGGCTCATCGCTGCTGTGGTGGGACGTGGCTGTCAACTCTGTGCACAAGTGTGTACATGCTACTGAAGCGTCACGGGGGACAACGAAACATGCTCAAGAACGGTTGGCCGTATGACCATAAATCGCAAGCCGACGACGGTAGCTCGGCCCTGTTTGCCGCGATGGTGGCGGCCGATGCTGGGAGAAAGCAAGCGGTAGACTTGTCGCATCGCAGCAGCGGATGTGATGGCCAAAGCGAAAGGGCAAGCCCCCTGCTGGCAAGGCGATGAGCCAAGTGTGCGCATTTATGGCGAGCCAAAAATCGACCATGCGCGCGCATGGTCCCCCAGCGAAAGCGGCGAGGCGGCGAGTAATAGCCAGACGACGGACGGCGGTGGCGAGCGACTTCAAGCGACGCGACGCATAAGCGAAGCGCGCGCCGCGGGTGACTCATCACACGCATGGCCGTGGCTAGCTAAGCAGCAGTGATGACGCTGACGCATAATGCGAGCGATTGATACGGCAAAGTGGGCGACAATGGACTGGCCAAGGCAGCGGGCCCGCGACAACGG